TCGGGATATTGGGCACGCACGCACACGCACCCGGCATGAGTTTAAGCCACCAGGTCTGGGACTCAAACCAAGGTCGACTACATGGGAATCCAGTGACATAGCTATTATGCCAACTGCTTGTCCCAGCCATTGTTACTTTTTAAATAATTATTTTAAATTTTATTTATTAATTCATTTTAATTTGACCAAAGAGAGACACAGAGAGAGAGAGAGAGAATCCAAGAAAGCAAGCCACTAGGTCCAGGACTTGAACCATGGTCAGACATGTGGGAGTGTCCAGCACCTAGCCAACATACCACCTGCTGGTCCCATTATTATTTTTTAATTTGACCAGAGAGAGAAGTAAGAATGCAAGCTGCCAGGTCCGGGACTGGACTCAAGCCACGGCTGGCCATGTGGGAGGGAGTACAGTGCCTTAACCACCACACCACCTGCCGAGCTTGAAAAACGTGCCGAGCACGTAGGTGTGCCCAAGATCCCAAGAAGAGAACAGAGGAGAAGGGAAAGGGGCATGTGCTCTCCCCGGGGGTGCTTTCTCACTTCCTCTTTATGTCTCTCCCCAAGTGTGCACATGCCCTATCGCAAGTTTTTTTTTCATGGACAAAATTATTTGAATAGACATTTCTCTAAAGAAGACATGCAAATGGGGACCAGCAGTTGGCGTAATGGCTATGTTGCTGGACTCCCATGTAGTCAACCGCCGTTCAAGTGCTCATTGGCTTAAACTCACGCCGGTGCGTGTGCGTGCGTGCCCAAGATCCTGAGAGGGGAATGGAAGAGAAGGGATTGCGGCGTGGCCATGCCCGCAGGGGATGATTTCTCGCTTTCTGTCTCTTTCTGACACGCCCTATAGTACACGCTCTCTAGTAAAAACCTCTCACAACAACGACAAAAAGAAGACATGTAAATGGCCAGCAGGCATATGAAAAGGCACTCGGGACCAACAGTTGGCGTAATGGCTATGTTGCTGGACTCCCATGTCACCAACCACGGATTGAGTCCCAAACCCGGTGGCTTAAACTCATGCAGGACACATGGGCGTGCGTGCCCAAGATCCCGAGAGGAGAATGGAGGAGAAGGGATTGCGGCGTGGCCATCCTCCCTGGGGGGTGATTTCTCGCTTTCTGTCTGTCTCTGTCTTTCTGGCGAGTGCATGTGCCCTATAGCAAAAACCTCTCCAAAAAAAATAATAAAAGGCACTCAACACTATCAGTTTTTAAGTCAAAACCACAAATCAATACCGTCTCACACCCAGGAGGATGGCTAGGATGTGGGACAATTGGAAGCCTCTTACACTGCCGGTTAAATAAAATGGAAAGCTGTATAGCAGTTCCTCTAAAACCTTCAAGTTATCATATGATCTAGCAGTTCCACTCTTTGGTATAGACCCAAGAAAACTCAAAATATATGTCCTACAAAAATTCGAAAACAAATGTTCATGACGGAATCATACATAATATGTATAAGTGTGAATAACAAACCCCCGTCAGCTGGAGAATGGCTATCGTACAACAAAGTATTATTCAGCCATCAAATGCTACGAAATGGATGAACCTTAAACTAAGTGAAAGAGGGGCTGGCAGGTGGCGTGGCGGTTAAGGGTGCTGGATTCCCACACGGCCAACCGCGGTTTGAGTCCCAGACCTGGGATTTACTTTCTCATTTCTCTCTCTTTCTCTCACTCTGTCCCTCACTGGTCAAATTAAGAATAAAGAAATAAATACAGTCAAATAAAATAATTCCTTAAAAAAAAAAAAAAAAACTAAGTGAAACAAGTGAAAGAAGCCAGACCACAAAAGACTACATATAAAGGATCTTAAAAATATTCATGGAGGGGATCAGCAGATGGTGTAATGATTACATCGCTGGACTCCCATATAGGCGACCGCAGTTCAAGTCCTGGATCCGTCGGCTTAAATCTCATACCGGACACATGTGCATGCATGCCCAAAATTCAAGAGGAGACTGGAGGAGAAGGGATTTGCAGCATGGTCATCCCTCCTGGGCAGGGGGCGGCGGGAGTGATTTCTCACTTTCTGTCTCTCTGGTGAGCACATGTGCCCTATAGCAAA